AGTCATGTATCTACCGTTTTTGCCCATGTTTATAATTCTACCATTTAATGATTTTTTAAAAATACATGTCTATTCAAGGTTTATCTCTCTGCATATTTAGTAGATGGACAAACTAGCATATAATCTGAATTACAGCAGTTATATCCCAGGTCATATTTCTAAAAATATTTGATTTTGTTATCACAATCACTTATTTAAAAAAAAAAAAGCCGAAAAACGAGTAACATTTGAAATCTGCACTTTTACCAAATGATCATTTTCAATAAAAATCACCTAGTAGGGAAAAGAGAAAAGGAGAGAACACCCTTCCCCATAAAAGAGGGGGCAAGGAAAGTGGGAATATGACAACAGACAGAAAATCTGAAATCTAACTCTGTAGAGAAGTTGACTCACAAAATGATTCACAAACATTTCTTTGATATTTTGTCCAAAAAACCTCCTCGGACTAAAGCAGAAATTTGTTTGGTTAAAATACCTCAATCCACTATTATGATTAATGTCTTAGTGCCAAGTATTTGCTCATGTGGCATATGAACAAGGATAACCTCATATACATTGATTTAAGTATTGAAAAATTTAGGTAACTTAGAAGATAACCACTATGACATCACAGAAAGTGACCACAAAAACCTTTGCACTAACAAGAAAATGATCTGTTAGTTTTAACCATTTTGGAAATGTTAAATTAGACATAACTAAACTGCTGGATTTTGATCCCTCCCTGTTTGGATAGTATTCAGAAATTGCACAGTTTTATCTAATTCTACTTTTAGAATTTCAGTTGCTGACACATAGGAACTGAACCACCTATTTCAGCAAGGCCACTAATAGCTTTAACTGACTAATCATGTGGCAGGATTGGAAAACTGAAGACAAAAGTAAGTCTGTTGAAGAAAATACATGGAGATGTTCACTTTAAATCAAGACATTATTAACAAGTACAACTGCCCCTGCCATGTCCATGGGTTCTACTTCCACAAATTCAACAAAAGTCTGAGTGACTATACCTGAAAAAAACTTCATCTATACTGAACATGTACAGACTTTTTTCCCTTGTCATCATTCCCTTAAGCAAGATAATATAACAACTATCTATGTAATACACCCATGACATTAGGCATTGTAAGTAAACTAAAGATGATTTAAAGTATATAGAGGAATGTGTGAAGGCTGTCTACAAACATAAAACCATTGTACATAAGGGATTTGAACATCTGGAGATTTAGGGATGGGTGGGGGTCCTAAAACCAATCCCCCAACATATCAAGCAAGAGATGAATATATAAAACTGACATGCCCCCCTCTTTTAGCTGGGTATAACTAGAACCTTTATTAGATATGTTTTTCAATGACATGCATTTTTAGAGTCCTATGGAAATTCTGTTGTTTGTATCAAAACTCAAGCAATTAGCAAGGACAAGGCCCTGGATTCACTCCCCGGCACTAAAACTAAGGAAACAGAGAAACTAAAAATAAAAGCCAGGCATTGGTGAATACCTGTAAAACTAGTACTCTGGGAGGCTGAGACAGGAATACAGTAAGTCTGAGCTTTGTAGTATAATTTCAAATTAGGGGCTGTGATGCCCCTGCCTTGCCTTTGTTGTCCACAATTGCCTTTGCTATTGTAGGTCTCTTCTGGTTCCAAATGAATTTTAGGATTGTTTTCTCCAATTCTGTGAGATATGCTGTTGGAATTTTGATCAGAACTGCATTAAATCTGTGTAACAGTTTTGGAAGTATGACCATTTTCACTATATTGGTTCTTCTTACTCAAGAGCAAGGAATATCTTTCCATTTTCTGATGTCCTCTTTAGTCTCCTTTTTCAGAGTACCGTAGTTTTCAACGTAGAGGTCTTTTCCATCCTTTGTTAGATTGATTCCTAGGTACTTTTTAATTTTTTGGATGCTATTGTGAAAGGTGTTTCCCTAATTTCTCTCTCAGTGAATTTTTTATTTGTGTACCAGAAGGCTACTGATTTTTTAGTGTTAACTTTGTATTCAGCTACACAACTGAATTTGCTCATTAGTCTAGCACTTTTTAGTGGAGTTTTTGGGGTCTTCTCTGTAGAGTATCATGTCATCTGCAAATAATGATAATTTAACTTTTGCATTCCTATTGTTATTCCTTTTATTTCTTTCTCTTGTCTAACTGCTCTGGCTGAACTTTCTAGGACTATGCTGAGTAAGAGTGGAGATAGTGGACATCCTTGTCCTGTTCCTGATTTTAGAGGGAAAGCTTTCAGTTTTTGTCCATTTGGTACGATGCCGACTGTTGGTTTGTCATAGATAGCTTTTATCAGATTGAGATAAAGATCATCTATTCCAATTTTCTGTACGGTTTTTTTTTTTTTTTCTTTCCATGAATGGGTGCTGGACTTTGTCAAAATCTTTGTCTGCATCTAGTGAGATGATCATATGATTTTTTTTCCTTGGCTCTGTTAATATAGTGTATTACACTTATTGATTTTTGTATGTTGAACCATCCCTGCATCCCTGGGATAAATCTCACTTCATCATGGGGTATAATCTTCCTGATGATTTGCTGCATTCTCTCTGCCAGTATCTTATTGAAGATTTTTCCATCTATGTTCATTAGGTAGACTGGCCTGTTGGATGTTATTCTGTAGGCAATGGGAAGCTGATTAAATCTTTAAAGTAGGAGAATAGAGAGTAACATAATCAGACTGCTAATTTTAAATTTTTTTTTTTTAAAAAAAAGGGCTGTAGATGTAGCTCAGTGTGAAGGCCCTGGGCTCAACCCTAAGGCCTCGGGGGAAAAAGCAGGGAGAAGATTAAAGAACAATTTCTGAAATAAAAGCAGTAAGACTTCAAAACCAAGAAGAGGTACAAGGAAATGAAAAGCTTAGTTTGGGAGTTTAGGTAAGAAAAAAGAATACAGCAGAATGAACAAACTACAGGGATCAGGGCTAAAGAAAAAGAGTTGCTTTCATTTTGTTGCAATACTTGAGAGAGGCACAGTTAGGTAGCTGTCTCAAGTTTAGGGTAGGGGTGGAGGTACAGTATGGTTAGCAGTCATCTATTCTTACTGACAGCTTTATACCTCTGGTTTTTCCCAATCAGTGCACTTTTTATTGTACACACACAAACACAACTCACTACCCCTATCTACATTTCTACTAACTGCTTTATCAACTGAGTTCCTTCTCTTCTCCTCTTACAAAAGATTTCCTAATGACTACTATATCTGGATTCTAGGGTTTTGGTTTCACCTTTGCTACTAAATATGTGTGTTCTTAAATAGTCTGTTCAACTTTCTGGATTTCAACTCTAAAAGATGACTAGATTAATGACTTTTTACAAAGTTCCTTCCAACTGTTATATTCTACAACTTGTTCATTATAGGTTAAATCTAACATTTAAAAAGCTGTTTTGGGTCGGGGACATAGTTCAGTGGCACAAGTGCCTGCCTGGCAAGCACAACGTCCTGAGTTTGATTCCCGGTACCAATAAATAAATAAATAAATAAAAGCTGTTTTACCATGTTATCACAAAATCTCTTGGTGTGAGATGGAGGGAAGCGGAAGGAGTGGGGAAGAGGATGAAACAGAATTTATGTATATGTATCAACTCCCCATGAGAAATGTAATCATTATGTACTGCAAACATATACCTGTAAAAATAAATATTAAATGAAAAAAGAAAATTTCAAATGAAAACAATAAATGTAGACCAAAAAAATCTCTTAGTGCTCATTCACTTTTATGTATAACTGTAATACTAATATTAAGGATGGCAAATCCAAATAAAATCAGATTTTTATATTTCTTCTGTGTCTTACCACCTCTACTTAATTACAAATTTTGACAAACAGAACTACCTATGTCTTAAATTAAAACTCTTAAAGCCAGGGTGTGGTGGTGCACACTTGTAATCCCTGCACTCAGGAGGTCAAGGCAGGAGGATCGTTTTGAGATCGAGGTTAGCCTGGGCTACAAAGTGAGTTCAAGGCCAGCCTGAATTGCATAGCGAGACTCTGTCTCAAAAAGACAATAACAAACAAACAAAAAATTCTTAATAATGCTAATAAGAAAAGACAGGTAGTATAAACCAAAAGGCTAAATTAAATATCACTGTTTTCTAAATGTGTTTCTTTTTAAATCAGAATATAATCAGCACACACTACAGCATCAATTCCTTTCATTATTTCTGCACTAGCTAAACCGCAATGAGGAATACATGCGGCATTTGGAGGAGGGCAAAGGAAGCAGAATGATAAACCTTTATATGTCATCTATACTTATTGCTATAGAAAAGCAAAGAATAGAACAGAAAGCATGAAAGCAGGACAAGCGCCTTTTTTTTTGGTCTTTTTGGGACAGGGTCTCGCTATGCAGTTCAGGCTGGCCTTGAGCTCACTTTGTAGCCAGGCTAACCTCGAACTCACATCTCGACCCTCCTGCCTCAGCCTCCTGAGCGCTGGGATTACAGGCGGGTGCCATCACGCCTGGCTGCAAGCACCATTTCAACCTACCACTACTACCATCATCACCATCATCTGAAAGGGAACACTATGAAACTGATGAGGTGAGGCAGGGAGGAAAAAGGAAGCACACATACATCACCTAATAGCAATTATAAAAAGATATGCTTGGGGGTTGGTGATATAGCTCAGTGGCATAAGTGCCTGCCTCTCAAGCACAAGGTCCAGAGTTTGATTCCCGGTAACAAAAAAAAAAAAGATATGCTCAGGTACCAAAAAAAAAAAAAGATATGCTTCAGCCTGGTTCCAAAAGCATATAAAAATGAACTAGATATTTTCTATCATCACAAAGAAAACGTAAGAGCTCATTTATAATAGAATAACATGAAGGCTGTTTGCAAATTTTTCTCACAATCACACCTCTGAAATGCAATCAATTTCAAAGCAAATTACCTGGTGTTTTTGTTCAAAGTGCTGTATATTGTCACTGTTATTCAGATATATAATTACTAGGGCAGATACAAACAGCAAAAGATCTTCATAGCTTCCTGATTCTTACCTGTTCACTCTCCTAGGACACTTGTCTGGTTTAATGTCTACCTCATAGAGGTAGACATCAATCTTTGGGATTTCAACTTGAAAACAGTTAGCCAGCAGTTTAATGGGTTTGCCCATGGTGCCATAGCCAGGTCTTCTGGGCACCATGAGTAGGGGCTGGGCCCCAACAGGTCCTGCCAGGGGAAAAAAAAAAAAAAAGAGTTTGTTATAAGCTGCATCTGATAATCTTGTCAACCAGAATACAGTAGAATTGTAAGTATCGCTTACAATGGTTAAAGCTTAGTGATGAATGTGACATCATTCCTATTAATTCAACTTCCTTCACCCCAATTTCTTCTCTTCGTTAAAAACAAACAAGTGCTGGGCATGGTGGCACAAGTTTGTAATCCCAGCACTCAGGAGGCTGAGGCAGTAAGACTGCTGCAAGTTTGAGGCCAGCCTACACTACAAACTGAGACCCTGTCTCAAAAAAGAAAAACAAAACGAAGCAAACAACAAAACAGTAACAAGCACCTTTGTTCTGGAAGGGGTATAGAGAAGAGGGGGCAACCATACAAATCCTGATGAGCATAAGAACTAAACTGTATAAAGTAGTGCAAAGTAAATGAAAAAAAAAAAGAACAAAACTTGACAAAACAAAAGCAATATATAATAAAAAGGATTAATAGCACAAAATTGATTATTTGAAAAGATATATAAAATTGGTAAGTCCCAGGTAACACTGATTTTTTTTTTCTTCCCCAGAACTTCCTTACAGGCTAAGCAAACATTCTACCATGGAAGCCCACATCCTTAGCCCTTTTTATTTTTGAATTTTTAGATAGAATCTCAGTAAATGGCCCAAGATGGCCTCAAATTTGTGATTCTCCTCCCTCAGCTGCCCTAGAACCAGGGAATGCAGGTAGGTGCCACCAGGTCCAGACAGGTAACACTGATTTTTTAAAAACACAAGTAAAAGTACTTAAGCAACAACGAAAGTGAAAAAATAAAGTGGTATCACGCTCCAGATTCTGAAGACATGACAACATTGGCGCCAATAAATTTGACAGTCTGGTGAAACAGAGAAATTCTTAAAGAAATACAACTTATGGACAAACAAAAGGACATAAAACCTGAAAAAGTACTCTATTACTAAGAATGTAAAATAATACAGTCACTTCAGAAAACAGTATGGTGGTTCCTCAAAAAACAAAAACTAGAATTAACAAATGACCCAGTGCCACATATATATTTTTCCTCATATATACACATATATATTTTTCCTGGAAATACACATATATATTTTTCCTCAAAGAACTGAAAGTAGAAAGAATTGAATGAAGGGATATTGGTACACTCATGTTCACTGGAGCATTATTTACAACACCAGAGGGTAGAAGTAACTCAAGTGTCTAGCAATGGATGAATGAATAAACAAAATGTGGTATATACACACAATGGAAAAACGCTCAACCTTCAAAAACAAGAAATTCTGATAAACATAATAATATATTACATTGTAATACAGATAAACCTTGAGCACATAATGCTAAGTGGAATAGCCAGTCACAAAGACAGTCCCTATGTTACTCCCCTTATGTGAAATGCCTAGAGGAGACAACTGCATAAGACAGTGTAGAATCTTGGCTGTTAGGAATTGAAGGGGAGTTGTTTCATGGTGTAGTTTCAGTTTTGCAAGTTGTGAAGACTGGCTGCAAAATCATGTAAAAGTACTTACACTAGGGCACTACATACTTAAAAGCATTAGGATGGGGCTGGAGATACAGCTCAATGGCACAAGCACCTGCCTGGCAAGCGCAAGGTCCTGAGTTCAATTCCCGGTACCAAAAGAAAAAAAAAAAAGGCATTAAGATGGTAAATTTAATGATATATGTATCCTACCACAATTTTTTAAAAAGCTTAAGTGATATGTAGTATTGTTTTGCTTTTATTTGTTTTTTTTTTTTTTTTTTTTTTTTTTTTTTGGTTTTTCTCCGGTACCGGGAACCAAACTCATGACCTTGCGCTTGCCAGGCAGGCGCTTTGCCGCTGAGCTAAATCCCCAGCCCCTTGTTTTGCTTTTAAAGAAAAACTTTTTGGAGGTATTGGAGACCCTAAAGGGCCTTTATTTTTATTTTGAGAGTGTTTTGCTACGTTGCTCAACTGCTCAGCTGGGCTCAAATTTATGATCCTCCTGCCTTAGTCCCCTGGAGGGCTGGGATTGTAAATGTGTACCACCATGTCCAGATTTTTAAAATTTTTGATTGAATGCATTTTACACTGTGGTACCATTAAATTTTTTGTTTATTTTTTGAGACAGGGTCTGGCTACGTAGTTCAGACTGGCCTTAAACTCACTTTGTAGTCCAGGCTGGCCTGAAACTGACAGCAATCCTCCTACCTCAGTCTCCTCTTGAGTGCTGGGATTACAGGCATGCACCACTATGCCCAGTTCACATTAAATTTTTAAAGCTGAGTATATCACAGCTTTATTACTCAAAATTCAAATAATACATGCAGTTAATAAGTTACTTATTTGAATAAATTAAAAATTACAGTTTAGGGTCTGGGGATTTAGCTCAGCAGCACAGCGCCCTCCTAGTAAGCACAAGGTCGTGAGTTCAATTCACGGCACTGGAAACCACCCCCCCAATTACATTTTAAAACTTCTGAAAAAAAAAAAAAAAAGCCAGTACTGTGTCACACGCCTATAAACACAACACAGAAGATAGCATAGTGATGAGCAACAGAGAAAGAGCCTTGCCGAGATTTGGTATCCAGACCCTGGAATACAGCAACATGAGGAAGACAAGGAGGGAAGTGGGTCCCTGGGATCCAGGAAGGATCTGACGTGAAAACTGAACCCCACAGAGAGAACATGGAGAGAGACTTCAATACAGAAGAAGGTGACCTGTTGTGCTTTCTCCCTGAAACCTGACTGACTGCATGGGAGAAGTGGCTTGAACCTGCAGACCCATAATTACTGCTGGAGAGCTCAGTGAGATCCACAGAGAAATGTACCAGTGGAATAGATCAGTGGACGAAGTGGAGTGTGGACTGGTGAGTTACTCAGGTTCAGACACACCCTAGGAAAGGGTGACTGCTTGGTAGCCATTTTGGAGAGGGGTCAACTGAGCTCTGAACTTAGAACTGCGGAATGGCTCCATCTGACAGCTCGTAGTGTGAGGGTGGGGCTGTTGAGTTCAAGTTGGTAGGAGGTCAGGGAGCGAAATCAAGCCAGTAGCAGGTGCACATAGTGTTACAGGCTGAACAAGTCAGGTTCCAGCCTCACAGCCAGAGATTTAGTGGAACTAAAGGTGCAGGTTTGCTAGGATTATCCACTACCCCACCATAAAGGTACAGCGGGCTTGCAGTGATTAATCAACTTGGATCTGGACTCTGTCTGACCACACTGTCTACCAGTGAGAGCAGAGACATGGCTTGAAGTGGACTTTTTTTCTTATTTTTGTTTTTGTTCATTTTCCTGTTTTAGTTGTGTTGCTTCTTGTTTGTTCTTATTTTTACATAAATGGGAACACAATTTCTAGATTTTTTTGCTTATTGCTCTGTTCTTGTATTTGTTTCCTTCTCTCTTTTCCTCCCGTCTTCTTCACAAGTTTCCCAAAGTTTTTGTAATCTTTCTTTGTCCTCTAGCCTTGCTTCTAATCTCTTTCTCTGCTTCTATTTTTCTATTTTTCACCCCAAACTCCTTTTAAATGTTGTCCCCTGAGGGTACAATCACCTTTTGGAGTCTTATTTACTTTATAAAATTTTCTGGTTTGTATTAGATTTTCTTACATAAACACAAATCTAGTTGATACAGTTAAAGGTGACAAATTATGTTACCAGAGTTTGTAATTTTCTTGGCTGTGTTTGATGACATTACTATTGCTGATTGTACTACTTTAGCCAACCTGACGTAATTGTTCTAATGAGATGTTTTTCCTGGTACGCCAAGATTGAGATTGCCTAAGGGTCATATACAATACTATAGGCCAGTGCCAAAGAACCAGGCAAATAGGCAGAAACTTCTCATACCCAATAAATTCAAGAAGTAAAATCCTGCAACACACTCAAAACCCAAAAGCTAGCTACACTTGGAAGACATCTCTGAGAAGCAGTCATTTCCAAAGGGTTCTAAATACTAGCAATAATGCTACTCGTTATAAGCCAAAAATTTACAAGCAACAACCTAGGAATTAAACTTAAAAAAAAAAAAAAGAAACAAACCAAGAAGACACTTAAACAAGACACAACCCCAGACTTCTAGCTCACCAAAGGAAAACCCAGGGGCAAGGAGGTGGAACAATCCATAAGCCATCCCTGGACTCTGTGACGTGGTAATAGTGGAAGTAACAAAGCAGATGAATGAAGCTCTAGAAAAAAAAAAACATATCACGAATGATTTCTCAGATAACTACAGAGGTGACCATATTGAAAGACATGGTTAGTGACTCTAGAGCAGATACAGACAGAAAGAGAGAGAGAGAGAGAGAGAGAGAGAGAAAGAAAGAGAGAGAGAGAAGCTTAGGAAAACTGTGGAAACCATGAATGCCCAAAGTAAGAAAAAAAATGAAATCCATGAAAGAGATTCAAACAGATATCCAATATTAAAAATTCCACTGAAAGTATAAGCAGCAGAAAAGGCCAATGTAAGGACAGAATACCAGGTATAAAAGACTGGATTGAGGTCAGTGATCATGAAAAGAAAAGATTTCTTAAAAATAGCAAGGGAACATGAGCAATCAATCCAGAAGCTGCTAGATGATTCAAAGAAGAACATAAAATTGATCTGCACTGGACAGTGTGGTGCACGTCAGCAATCCTAACTCTCAGGAGGTTGAGGTAAGAGGATCACTGTGAGTTCAAGGCCAGCCTGGGCTACATAGTGAGTTCCAGGTCAGCCTGGACTGCATAGCAAGACCCTGTCTCAAAAAACCAAACAAACAAAAAAAAATTGACCAGAGTCAATGAAAGTGCAGGTGATAGCACAATATTAAAAACCTGTTCAAAGAAGTAATGGCAGAAGACTTCCCAAGCAAGTAGAAAGAATCTGACGTACAGTAAGTGAGGTATATAGGACTCCAATTAGCTATGATCAAAAAAATCTACAGCACGACACATTAATAGTCAAAGTTCCAGAAACTGAACACAAGAACAGACTATTAAAAGTTGTTAGAGAAAAGAAACAAATC